GCTCATGGGGGCTTTACACACGCACTACAAGTGTACCATGCCAAAACCCAACCGAACCACGCTCTGGCACACCTCCTCCAACCAGGCCAGGGTTTTGGAGCACACACACTTTTCATATGAACAGGGAAATTGGGTTCAAATGTGCTTGCGCATGGTTCAGATAGCCTAGTGCAGTTGTGTCCAAAGTCGGTCATGGAGGGTCGGTGTCCTGCAGATATTAGCTCCAGCTTGCCTCAACACACCTGTACGGATGTATCTAGAAAGCATAGTAGGAGCTTGATTAGTTAGCTCAGATGTGTCTGATTGGGTTGGAACTAAACTTTGCAAGACACTGGCCCTCCAGGACCGAGTATGGACATGCCTGGCCTAGTGTAAGTAAACTCAAAGCTTTGTTGGTGTCTGAGCTCTAGGGTCCGTTCTTCGTAGCTTGCTTAAATGATCTATGATGATTTGGCAGATCCTGGATCTTTTAATCTTGATAACTAATTTCTGGCTAATTTGGTTCTTCAAACAACTTCGTGAATCAGGTTAAAATGTCTGAATAAACTGATCTGAGATCGCTGCTTGTTGTGAAGGACAGATCTATCGATCCTCGAAGTCATGATCAGCAATGCTACGATTGGCTGGCAGCACAGCAGTGTAATGACATCATCTGATTAATATTCAGTTATCCATGTGAGCAAAATTGCATCAAATTAGCAGTAAATGGTTTGTTTAATATGATGCGCAATAACTTTACACCTTATTGTGGGCTGCAGGATTGGCCCTTTCATGTGTCAAGAGCAATTTAGTTTTACAGTTAGTGCGGATTTTCCTTATTATAGTAGCCATGTAGTATTATTGTAGCCATGTAGTATTATTGTAGCCGGTTTTTTAATCGGTTTAAAGAATAACTGGATGTTTACAAAAACATTTTGATATTGGTAACGACGTCTGCAACTTTTATAAAGCAACAAATCACTGTCATATTAACTGTCAAAACATGTTTTTGACTGCATAAATGTATTATTGCTTTTAAAAAAAGTCACACATTGTGCATGTCTATGATCATAAACCAATTGAACTAAAGCGATCCAAAAAGTTCATATCAATAAGTTTTCTCTTTGCACCACCAGGAGTGCAGATTGCATAAGTTTTATTAATGTGTGTGGTGTGTATGTATATATTTTATGTATGCATGCATGTATGTATGCATGTACACACACACATATATTTAACTTATTTTATTAATAACTATAATTGTATATCTTTATAACTTTATATAAAGATCCAGGATCTGCCAAATCATCTTGGATCATTTAAGCGAGCTATGAAGAACGGACCCCAGAGCTCAGACACCAACAAAACTTTGGGTGTACTAACGCTAGGCCATGCATGTCCAAACTCGGTCCTGGGGGTCCAGTGTCTTGCTAAATTTAGTTCCAACCCAATCAAACACATCTGAGCTAACTAATCAAGCTCCTACAATCCTACTATTCATTTCGGAGTGTAGATTGCATAAGTTTTATTTATTTATATATATATATATATATATATATATATATATATATATATATATATATATATATATATATATATATATATATATATATATATATATATTTACTATTTTCCCCTAGTGTATATAACTACTGCTGTAAGAAATTATCAGAACTCGGTACATACTTTCTGTATTATCTTTGCTTGAATTGACCTAATCTAATCCTGTTTATATGAATTGAACCTGGTCTGGACCAGGTTTGAGCTACCCGAACTGTTGCTATGACAACAACTCTCGGATCAGTTTTAAAGAACGAAATGATCCTGGGTCGTGTCAAATCGTCAATAACCAAATCCAGCTATCTGAGTAATCCACGTATGAACAACGCACCCCAGGTCTCTCTTTTACTAAGCGTTTACTTTTTGAAAAATACAGATGGTTTTGAAGAAGTTGTCCAAATTGTTTCACAGCTGCACTTCCAGAAAAGGGACGGGGCAAGATGGCACACATTCACTAATAACGTGAAAGACATTTTCATTCTACATCAAAGTTCATATTAGGACATTTACTAAAGTGCAAATTAAAAGAATGTGTGACCTATAAAATTAAAAAGTTTAAGTTGGAAATGCCTTTTGCATCCTCCTGTAGTTCATCATTTTTTACACAGTGCCACTTTGGTTTCAATGCAGTCACGTACTGTAGGGATTTTCAGAGGGTCATTGTAGTACTGTTGCAGATCTGCTAAATAAACCATTTTGTAACCATTAAAGAACTAGAATTGATGAATATTTATTTTATTTTATTCAGATATTTTGCAGGGCAACTTCAAACCTGATTACTACCTAAAGCATATTCAGAAAGATCTGAGATTAGCCATTTCAATGGGAGATTCTGTTAACCATCCAACACCAATGGCAGCTGCTGCAAACGAGGTAAGAAAGCATGTGGTGAAATACATTTGCACAGTGGAAACATAAAATAAACCTAAAAAACAATATCACTATTAAATATTACAATGTCTTTTTAGAAATAATGCATTACTTGACTCTCTTCTGCAGGTATACAAGAGAGCAAAAGCATTGGACCAGTCGGACAATGACATGTCTGCAGTCTACAGAGCTTACATCCACTAATCCCGTAGATGTGCTCCACATCCCGGACCACAAACCTCACCGTCTTTGTTCCTGTCCCTCTTGTCTTTTTCTCTCCTCTGCTGATGAATTTTGTTGGGCACCAGTGATCCGTTTTTTTCCCATGTATAATGGGATCTCTTTAGCAGCCTAATCTGAGCATTGCACTGACTGTAATATTGCTGCACGCCTGCTCAACGGGAGGGTATTAAACTCCCCAGCGAATGATTCTTTTGTGATAGAGCGTGCAGTGTATTATATTCACATTTTGTTAAGGCTACTGCATACGATGCAGTGTTGTTTGAAGAGGCCAGGGTTTTATTTATAGCTCATATCTTTACAAGTGAATTCCCTCATTGTCATTTTTGATGCTTTTTTTTTTTTTCTCAGTCTGTAAAGTTATGAACTTTTGATCGCTAACCGGCTTGAGGAACACGATGAAAGAAGCCACTGCATTGCCTTAATACCCGTATAAGATAGATGTATTTATTTATTTTATCTTGAAAGATCACCATCATGCAAGGGGCAATTTGGCCGTATGTTTTATTTTCCAGTTGTTCATTAATGTTTATTTTTTGAATGCCTTATCAGAAATGCATTGTTCTTTTAAGTTGACTGTGTATGAATCACACAGAAGATCCTGAAAGGATTTGTCACTCACAGTGGATTTATTGAATCTTGACTGTCACTTCAGTAATAGGATTTCCGTTTTCCAGCTTGACTACTTTAGAGTCAGATTTTCATCGCTGCATTTAAATCCGTCAAAGTGGGCTGTAAAAAAAAGAAACTTGTATGAAGTCATTTTATTTTGCTTTATTTGAAGACTTTTAAATTGGACTTGTAATGTTTTGTGCGAGTCAGCTGGCAGTGTGATCTCTTTATTTTGTTTAAAGACTAATAGACCTGTACTTTTTTGTTTTAATTACCATTATGACTCAAAGTAAAAAAAAAATCAAGTTGGAAGCTAAAGTGTTTTTCCATTTTATCCTTAAATTATGATCAAGTTTGTTCATTTTAAGTGTACACCATCATGGTGTATAATTGGTCATTTCGGTATTTTTATCTTAAAACAAAAACAGGGTGATTCTTTTCTACAAATTGTTCTGCCAAAAAAAAAAAAAACAGTTGAGGACTTTGAAGTGCTTGATCTTGGACAAGATAAATTTGTGATTACTAAGGACTGTAAGATTCAGATGTTTTGCGTGTGTGTGTGTATATATCCCAATCAAAGGGTTTGGTTCTTTCAATACATGGAAAAATAACATTTTCATTTGGACTCTACTGACGTGATTAATCATCTGGTGTCTTAATAATGTAGGCTGTTCTTTTGTCTTAGCTGATGGGTTTATTTACTGTAAATGGTTTTTGTTATGTTTATTCTTTTGTGGCTTAAATAGAGTTGGTTATGAGATATTGACGACTTGATTCCAGTTGTGCAAGGAAGGTATTGGTGTTTTAATTGGAGATATTTATAATTTCATGTAAATGTGAAATTTCATTCTTATTTTTTTCTTGTCTGTTTCTTTTTTTTTTTTTTTTTGTGCGGTCAACTGAACCCTCTGAATAAACACACCGAATGTCCAGCTTGTTCATTTTTACATCTCCTGTATATTGTTGTTGTTTTATGAGTTCATTATGTTTAAATTAAAGACAAAATGTACAGTTTTTCTGTCCACATCAAATTACATTTACATGAGTATTTTTATATACATAAAACACATGAAAATACAACAAAAGTTTTGCATGCTTTAGATCAGATGTGTGCAAACTCAGGCCTGGAGGACCGGTGTCCTGCAAAGTTTAGCTCCAACCCAAACAACCAACTCCAACCCAAGCTCTCACAAAGTTTTCTAGAAACATACGTGCAGGAGTTTTGAGGCAAGTTGGAGCTAAAATCTAAAATGTAAATGGTATTATACCCAACAATTTGTGGTTACACTTGGTCTCAAACTCAATTCCTGGAGGGCCACAACTCCAACCACCAACTCGCAGCTTTTCTAGTAGTCTTGAACACCTTCGTTATTTGGATCAGCTGTGTTTGCTTGGGGTTGAGCAAAACTGCAGAGCTGCGACCCTCCAGGATTGTTTATGTAGGCCTATATGTACTGGATTTTAGTCCGAACAAATTGTTCTATAAAGCTCTAATAACAATATCAAAATAATAAATAAAATACTGTCATTTTCATGTTATCTTAATGTCCATTAGACGTTTGAATTAGTATTTATTGACATTAAAATGCCCACAAGCCATCCTATCCGAACGGGACGATTTAAAGGATACACAAACCGGAAGTTCTGAATAAGGAGGCGGTGCCGAGCGTAATTGTTTACGTGTGATCGCCCGACCATCCAGTCAGTCAGACTAAATAGCGCAGTGCCCTTGTAACATTTTACCTGCATAATTTGGCCAGCTTGACTGAATTGTGATGCTCGGAGCAGAGCGATCTACTCTGTCTGAAGTAGCCAAGATGACCGCGGCGAGTCAAGCAGAGCGGACCGTGCTGGTGAGACACTCATTTGACTCATTTAATACGCGTTAAGCTTAAATATATAAAGCCTTATAAACAGAATGATGGGACACGAAATGTTCAAATTTGATATGTAGTTTGTGGATGCGTCGTAGCTGATGTGCCTGGCTTTGCTGTGTGAAGAGCTTGCTAACGTTAAGTGCTGTTCTGCTGGGACAAAGTCCAAATTCATGTCAGTTTGAGTGCCTTGAAGAATCGTCACAGTGATTTGTCCTGCATTATCATCAAGGCTCTGCTCAGTTTGTCATGTATTGGTGTGTTTGTGGAGCTGCTTTCCTCAGTAATGCACCATGCCGATCGATTCTGCAAGGGAGAGTTCACTCAGAAATCAAAATCCTCCTCAAGATTTAAACGTCGATTAAAATATAAATAATCTGAGACAGAATCACTCACCACAGAATCACTCTCCACCATTTGTACTGTATAGATAAAAATAAACGTGCAGTAAATGTGAGGCTTTCAGTCTCCACCATCTGCCTGACAACTAGTTTGAGCTCCACAGAGGAAAGTCTGTGTCATGGATGGGTGAATAATGACCCTGTGCTCATTTTTACTCAATTACCACTTTTAAGTGAGTTATGGTGTTCTTTAGGAGGAAGAATTCAACTGGCTGCTGAAGGAAGAGGTGCATGCGGTGCTGAAACAGCTGCAGGACATTTTAAAGGTATTTTCTGATTATTAGTTTATGATTAATGCTGGAGGAACTATGTAGTATATGTGTTTGGTTTCTTTTTAAGTGTTGATTTGATGATGGTGTTTGTGTTGCTTTCACCAAAGGAGGCATCAAGGCGTTTTTCCATGCCGTCACCGGGTCTGGAGGGACAGCTGAAGCAAGAAAACTTCATTCTAGGCAGCTCAACGTAATATATATGCATTCAGCCACTCTACTTGGACCTTTTTTTGTTTTTTTGCATGCATAAGAAAAATAAAAATGTTGTTGTAAATCTTTTGGAAATCAAAGGCCTACATTGTACATAGCCATATTCAAAGCAGCATTCAAAGTTACACACACTATTCAAAGTCTGATTCAAATAGGTCTGTCTCGATTTTTTTATTTTATTTTGTTTTGACAATTCATTGTAAAAAGGAAAATTATTCCAGTTAACTATTTGTTTGGTTGTTTATTTATTTCATATTTTATTTTACTTTTATTTATTTTTTACTTTAAAGCATAATTAGATATGATTGACGGATGATGCTTTTCTTTAATGCTCTGAAAATAAGTTTTTAATAGTTCAAACATTCCTCTTTATGTTTTCAGTTTAATCGTGATCATTTTAGCATTCATATCAGAGCCCAGCAAAACACAGTGTAATGTAATGTTTGTGAAACTTTAGGGACTATGCTTAATCTAAAGAAAACTGTGTTTTTTCAAACATTATACATGATAATCCTTGATTGGCGTTTGTTACGCAGTTAAATGTCGTTTAGACTGCTTAATTATCATTTACCTTAAAATGATTGTGATTAGATCAATTACCTACAATCAATAACTGTGATAGGCCTAAATTCAAACTGACATACACTTTATACTTGATATACACCGGCCACTTTATTAGGTACACCTTACTAGTACCGGGTTGAACCCCCTTTTGCCTTCAGAACGGCCACTCCCTGGATATTTTCTCTTATTCGAACCATTCTCTGTAAACATTAGAGGTTGTTGTGTGTGAAAATCCAAGTAGATCAGCAGTTTCTGTAATACTCAGACCAGCCCGTCTTGTCCTAACAACTATGCCAGGTTCAAAGTCACTTAAATCACCTTTCCTCCCTATTCTGATGCTCAGTTTGAACCGCAGCAGATCGTCTTGACCATGTCTACATGCCTAAATGCATTGAGTTGCTGCCATGTTATTGGATGATTAGAAATTTGCATTAACAAGCAGTTGGACAGGTGTGCCTAATAAAGTGGCCGGTGAGTGTATGTCACAATGTTAGAGCATTTAAATCTGGACTCTCTTGATTTACTGTGCAATATTTGTAAAATTATTAGTTAATTATTTTAGGTAATATTGGTGGTGTTATTTTTTTTCGCTGTAACAGTTTTATAGGAACGAATAAAGTACTGACAAAAAATGTATAACTTGTTATAAGAAATGCTTTCACTTATTTTTTTATTTGGTTAGGATGGACCAGGTTAAAGGGGTTTTGACTCTACAAGGAGAAGCTCTTACTCAAGCTGTAAGTATGTTTCATAACACTATAAAAATGAAATCCGCTTTCTGCGAGAATAGCGCTGTTTTGCATAAAACTATTAAAGCAAACCTGCAATTCCACTGATTCGCATCACACTGATGACACTGTAATGAAATTGAATTCATTGTCTTAAAGGGATAGTTCATGCAAAAATTAAAATTTCCTCACACAAGTGGTTCAAAACCTTTTTTTTTTATTATTATTAATTTTTTTTCTACTATTAAACACAATATTCTGAAGAATGTTGGGGAAAACATCGCCATTAACATGCATAGTATTTTTTGTTTATACTATGGTAGTCAGTAGTTGCAGCTTTCACTTCTTCTTTATGCCAATTCATCCATTCATTCATCCATCTATCCATCCATCTGTGTCTGTCAGTTTTACAACAATATATATTGATGCATGTTGCCACTAATCTGACAAATGTTAGCAATGTTAAATGTAAAATCATGCTGGAATAAGTAATGTTCCTAATTTTGTTTCCAGGATATTAATATCAAAGTTGCTAAAAGTAGTCAAGTCATGCATTTTGCATTCCGGGATGATAAACAGTGGAAATTACAGCAGGTAATCTTTCTTTCACTCTCTCTCATTGAAAAGTGCCTTTCATATACCTTGTTTCAGCATCATCTGTTGTTGTAGCGGTTTGATATTACTCTTTGATAAAAGTTGTTAAACACATCCTGTCCCCCTCAGATCCAGGATGCCCGAAATCATGTGAATCAGGCCTTGCAGTTGCTCAGCAGCCGTGACGACAGCTATCACTTCAAAACTGGGGCTGAAGTCAATAAGGTTTGTTTTATCTCATGTAAAATGTCTACTTTTACAAACATTTGTTGATGTCTAGGAACAGGATTCCAAAAAATAAAAAGATAAGAAATCTCTTAATCAGTACTGACTTAATTCTCTCAGTCTTAAGATTAAATAATATTTTTCAAAGAAGGCTGTTTTGGTGCTGCTTACAATTTACTGCTCTAAATGACTAAAAATGTATTATTTTCATTTTTTATTAGAATAAGCAGTCCCACACTTTATATTGAGTGGATTTAAATATGTTATTGCATGTTTTTTGCATTGTACTTCTGCTTGTTGGGTGGCATGATGGCTCAGTGGTTAGCAGTGTCGCCACACAGCAAGAAGGTCATTGGTTTGAGTCCCAGATGGGCCAGTTGGCATTTCTGTGAGGAGTTTTCATGTTCTCCCTGTGTTTGCATGGGTTTCCGCAGGGTGCTCCGGTTTCCTCCACAGTTCAAAGACATGTGGTATAGGTGAATTTAATAAACCAAATAATCTGTAGTGTATGGAAATGAGTGTGTATGAGTGTTTCCCAGTACTGGGTTGCGGTTGAAAGGGCATCTGCTACGTAGTAAAAGTTGGCGGTTCATTCTGCTGTGGTGATCTCTGAAATGGAGACTAAGCCGAAGGAAAATGAATGAATGAATGAATGAATGAATGAGTGAATGACTTATGCTTGATTAAATACCTGCATGTAATAAATTTGTAAATAATTTCTGTAATTACATTTATAATTACACAGTTGAGCATGCCTTACAACTTAACCCACTCTTAAAACTACTCATACCAACAAACATGTCCCTAACCTCAATAGCACCAGAAGTGTTCTGCAATGCATTAAAACTAAATACAACACACTTTCTGTGTTCTTAATGTAAGTACTTAGTAGTTAAGGCCACCTAATATAAAGTGGGACTGAAGTAGCAATAAATTAACATGCTGATTACAATTATCTTCAGCTCTCAAAATTAAGTCATAATAAACATGCCAGCAGTGACAAAACGGCAGTAGAGAAATCAAATGTAGAAAACGCGCTGTTTTCCTCTTCGTATGAACCAGATGCTTTCTTAGAAACACTCCATGTCTTAAAAAAAAAATTTGTCCTGAATAAATCACCTTTCCATATGCACCAGACACTTTCTTAAACTCCTCATTACAAGGACTCAAAAAGAAAAACAAATCATATTGCGCTATTTGCTTTTAACCTTTTAAAGTCCACAGGAACCGGAAGCTGGGACCATTTTTTGTATTGTGACACAGTTCCTAGAAAACAGAGTATTAAATGAAAAAACAGTAGGCGTGGCTTGTTTTTTTTTTTTTTCTACTGCGATCTGATTGGATGTAGTAAAGTAGGAATTTCATTCAGGAAGATTGGGAAAAGTGTTTGGGGAGAGTTATTTCAACCTAACACACTCCTCTTGATCACCATTTCTGTTTGTTGTCAAGGCTGACAGTTATAGGGGCGTGGTTAAATGTGTTAGCCACACCCAATTCCTAAGATATATGTAATTGACAATTTAACTGAAAACAAACAGGAAGTGAATTTCCAGATTTCAATTAGAGATTAGAAGGGCAACAAAAAATGTTCTTAATGACATGCACAGATTATTTGTTCGCAACAAAACTGGCAATGTGAGCTAACAAAATCAATATGGTTAGTTTTTAATTTCATGGGGACTTTAAACACTTCTTTTGCACAATATATTGTACAGTATTATGTAAAGTACTTGTATAATCTGCCTTGGGCTGTGTGTACAGTCAACTGTTTAAAGTGCATGTAGAGTTGGATTACTGCTCCAGAATGTGAGTTTTGTACAAGTTTAATTTCATGTCCACACATGTAAGCTGAAAGACAATAAAGCTCAACTTAAGGTGAACTTGACAAATGTTCAAAGTGCTGTGAACATGTGTGCACAAGCCCTCCAATTCACTGCCATCATTTTGACATGTGAGCTCATTAGATATATACTGTTATTATGGTTTGATTATAGACTACTTTGAGACTAGAGGCTATATATCTGCCAATGTTAAACTATTGTTTGATTGAATCTCTTTCTTCTTGTGACACATTGAGGTTACGGTACTGAATGGCTTGTTTGTTATTATCGTGAACACTATATAAGCATTTGCTTCATCTGTAAAAGAGCAACCCTATACAAACGTATTATTTTAGCATCAAATGATCCTGGGTTTATCATTTCAGTGTACAGGCTTTCATAGACACTGTAGTCTATGAGGTCTGGGAGACTCTTTTATTTAAAGGCTACATTTACACAATGATGAAGCCAAAAATATATTTTCCCTTATGTTTTAACCTTTGATGTGCAAGCTTAGCAAACTTTTTAATGCACAAAATAGGTCATTTCAATAAATACATTTTTAAAAGAAATGTGTTTTAAAAGGGTGGCACAGTGGCTCAGTGGTTAGCACTTTTGCTTCACAGCAGGAAGGTTGCTTGTTTAAGTCCCGGCTGGACCAGTTGGCATTTCTGTGTGCAGTTTGCATGTTCTGCTTGTGTCCAGGCCCGGATTACGAATTCAGAGGCCCCTGGGCACAGTGTCTTGTAGGTCCCCTACCTGGTCTCTATAGTTGAATTAAAAAAATAAGATTAATATAAAATTTTTAAAATAAAATGAATCTATAATGTATTACCCTCATTTTTTAAATGAATGATGTGCAGTACATGTATTTCTAGTCTACAAAGAATTTACTTTGAAAAAAAAATGCTTACCCTAACTAGTGAAAATTTATGGATTTTATTATACTTTAAGTTAAAATAATCTATATTTAAGGGTATTTTGAATGTAAAACTTCTATAAACGTATAATGGATATGATTTGGAGATAACATCTCTCCAGTTCAGTTCTATGAATCTGAGTCCTCCATTAATAGACACACTTATTTATGATTCCTAATTGGCTTCCTCGTCAGGAAGAGTAGGCTAAATCTGATATGTAGTGGAGAAAAGAAGATTGAGTTCATCAGACGTTGGATTCGAACTGGGTTCATGCTCGATCGGGCCAAAAGATGTTGCTATGCGCTTTATTGTGCTCTTTCCTTATGTTGTCTCTGTCAATTAAACGGTGATGGGCATCCAACGATGTGCGCTATTTGCACTTAGCCCAAATAGACACTCCAAAATTGGCATTTTTTTTCCCCTCGCAGGGGCCCCAGGTTCGCACGGGCCCCTGGGCCTGTGCCCATAATTCCCATTGGTTAATCCTGTCCTGCCCATGTCTGTATGGGTTTCCTTCGGGTGCTCCGGTTTCCCCCACAGTCCAGAGACATACCGTATAGGTGAATTGGATTTAACTAAATTGGCCGTAGTGTGTGAATGAGTGTGTATGGATGTTTTCCAGTACTGGATTGTGGTTGGAAGGGCATCCACTGTGTAAAATATAAGCCGGAACAGTTGGTGGCTCATTTCGCTTTGGCGACCTAAATAGAGAATAAGCTGAAGGAAAATGAGTGATTATGTTTTAAAAATGATTATTGTAGGTGCTCCTTATTCACGTATGTTTTTTTTTTTCCCCACAAATAATATAACTTTTTTACTTTATAAACACATTTTGGTCAAAAAAAACTCCAGAATTCATTGGTGTTTGGTCATTTTGAAAGTAAATTAATATTCAAAAAGTATGAAAGGAAAAATGAAAATAAAATATTGACCATTGGAATACTGAATGATGAAAATAATTATTTGCAAAGATAGAACATAAGAGCTCAATTGGGTTAATACAGACCTATTTTGTGCATCAAAGGGTTAAAAATTCACGTTTACACGTTTTTCAAACTGATCAACAAAATTGCTAAAAACGCTGTAATTTGTATTCTAGGTCAGTTTTTATTTTGTCACCTTTTTGGTAAATGGTACCTGTAGGAAATGAAGACTTGCAATTGGCGGCTTTGCGCTGGTGTGTTTGTAGAATTTGCCGTGTGTGTAAGATGGGACTCCACTGCTGATTGCAATGTGAAGTAAATCAACACTTTGCTGACACTTGATCAAACACTTGAGCAACACCACCATCATCACATACTCCGCCATTGTTGTGTGTTTGTTTGCGCTTTAATCAAGGCCTCATCATTTTCAGTAAAACACTTGTTTTTTCTGATGTTTACATGTCCACTTTAAAAGTATTGTTTCAAGCTGTTCACACACTGGCAACAAACAGTTGGCATCTGACATTTTCTCCCAGAATGTGTTTTTCTCTGCCTCTTATGTTTATGTTCAGCTTTTTTACTTTAAAGATGGTCCAAAGAACCATAAACGTTAAATGACTACAACCTACACCTACCAACACGCATAAATATATCACAGTTTTTGCATCTGAACTCTTTAAGTACATTCTTCGTTTTCCTCCTGTGAGCTTGTGTGGTTCTGTGCATAGTTGAGCACATTTGAAGCTAACTACAGGTTATTCAGGAATAGTAACATTCTTTCCACTTAAACAAGTAAAGCATTTTCACTTTTCACTGTATGTGATGTATATCGACACACTTATTGTTTGTGTTTCAGCTTATGGACGCAATAATGCTTCAGTTGACTCGAGCCCGTAACAGACTCACCACCCCGGCCAGCATGACTCTTCCTGAGCTTGCAGCAAGTGGCCTCATGGTTTGTGCTTTTCTAGATTTTCACTTGACCCAAAAATGAACATTTTACTCTTCTTTTACTTGCCCTCAAGTAGTTTCAGACCTTCATGTGATCTTTTTTTCTTTCAACACGGAAGTATTTTGATGTATGTTACAAACGAGTACCCTTTGTTTGCTATAGTAGGTAAATCATATACTTTAGAATTCAGTTGTTTTCAACATTCTTCGGAATATCTTTGTTCAGCAAAAAAAAAAAAAAAAAAAACAGGTTTGAAACAAATGGAGGATGTGTAAATAATGGGAGAATTTTCATTTTGGGTGAACTTCACTGTAAAAAAAATGATGAAACAAAAGCTGTTATATTACATCAGCTTACACTACCTGACAAAAGTCTTGTCACCTATCCAAGTTTTAGGAACAACAAAGTATGACTTGACTTCTAGTTGATCGTTTGGTATCAGAAGTGGCTTATATGTAAGTCAAAGGCCTCTAGATTACACTTATTTTACCAAAATAAAGTATTATCATGCCTTGATTTTTAATTTTTCCTTTAGGACAGTAAGGTCTGACTTGGCTCAGACAAAAGTCTTGTCGGTTAACAGAAATAATATCCAGTATAGAATATAAAGTCATGGCGCTGTGAAAAAAGAATTAATATTGTGTAGTACTCCCATTAGCTTGGAGAGCTGCTACCATACATCTCTGCAATGAATCAAATAACTTATTAATAAAGTCATCTGGAATGGCAAAGAAAGCACTCTTGCCGGACTCCCAGAGTTCATCAGGATTCTTTGGATTCATCTTCACTGCCTCCTCTATCTTACCCTAGACATGCTCAATAACGTTTATGCCTGGTAACTGGGCTGGCCAATCCAGGAGCACCTTTTTTGCTTTCAGGAACTTTTGAAATGGAGGCTGTAGTATGAGAGAGGCTGCTCTCCTGTGGTTTGTAATGTAATGGGCAGCACAAATGTCTTGATACCTCAGGCTGTTGATGTTGCCATCCACTCTGCAGATCTCTCGCATGCCCCCATACTGAATGTAACCCCAAACCATGATCTTTCCTTCACCAAACTTGACTGACTTCTTTAAAAATCTTGGGTTCATGCGAGTTCCAGTAGGTCTTCAGCAGTATTTGTGATGACTGGGAGCAAGCTCAATAGATGATTCATCAGAAAAATCTGCCTTCTGCCACTTTTCCAAATGATCAACTAGAAGTCAAGTTATATGGTTGCTCTTACAACAGGGATCGACGACAAGACTTTTGTTGGGTAGTGTAATTGTTTTACATTATACAAAGTTTAATATTTTTTGTAGTCAGTTTGACTGATGTATAAGTTGAAGACTTGAAAAAATCAATTCAAGGCAGTACATTTTTTACAGTGTATCCCTTTAATATGGATGCTCAATCTGTTGTTGTCTCTTTTTGAAACCTACAATATCTGTTCTGTTTGTTCTAGAAAATGTTTACACCTCCAATGCCGGGTGACGTAATGGTGAACTTCTACATCAATCTCAGTAAACTGTGTTTGACGGTGTATCAACTACACGTGCTGCAGCCTAACACTACTAAGGTATCAAGCTATCTTAAAAAGAAAACCTCTAGTTTGCTCGCCATAATTGTGTGTTGAAATGCACTGTCATTTTGGTTTTCTGTTAGAACTTCAAACCGGCAGGAAGTTCAGTGCTGCATAATCCAGGAGCAATGTTGTAAGTGCTCATTGCGTTTCCTGTTTTGATGCTTCAATGTCCTTCTTCTGCTTTTCCTGTTTTGAAGCCGTCTGTTTGATGGAGCTTTCTTTTCTCCTCAAGTGAACACAACAACACCAAGTTCGAGGTGAGCCACGTGCACAAGGTGGAGTGTGTGGTGCCGTGGCTGAACGACACGCTGGTGTTTTTCACCATTTCTCTGCAGCTCTGCCAGCAGCTCAAAGATAAGGTGTGATGATTATAATCTCGCCTGCACAGTCACTGTCATTACTGATGATCAATGCATGCACAAAAACCAGAGGGTTATCAGAAGAACCAAGCAGTTTAGAATTACGTTTGTAGGATTGTGTCAAAAATAATAAATATTTCCTTAATATTCCATTCACCAAACTTTTTTATATATTATTAGTATTGGTAGTATTACATTAGCATTATTTCACATTTAACATGACAAAATATACAGTCAGGTCCTTAAATATTGGGACATCAACACAATTCTTACATTTTTGGCTCTATACACCAACACAATGGATTTAAAATTAAACTAACAAGACATGCTTTATGTGCAGGCTGTCAGCTTTAAGTTGAGGTAAAATCAGGTGAACAGTGTAGGAATTATAAGTTTGCATATGTGCCTCCCACTTGTTAAAGAACCAAATGTAATGGGACAATTGGTACAAAAAAAACGAATGTCCTATTGTCACATTAATTGATAGTAATTGTAAAACAAACATCACTACTTTTTTACATACAGTTGAAATCAGTATAATTAGCCCCCCCCCCCCCCCCCCCACGTTTATTATTTAATCTGGCTTAAATATTAGAATATTGCGCAAATTGTGTTTAACAGAGCAAAAAAATGTTCATAGTTTGTCTGATAATATTTTTTCTTCTACAGAAAGTCTTATTTGTTTTATTTTGCCTAGAATAAAAGCAGTTCCTAATAAAAAAAAAAAACATTTTTTGGACAACTATTAGCCTGAAAGCTATATATTTTATCGATAGTCTACAAAACACACCATCATTAAACATCATTAAACTTGCCTAATTACACTAACCTGCCTTGTTCACCTTATTAACCTAGTTAAGCCTTTAAATGTCACGTTATACGTTGTATAGAAGTGTCTTGAAAAACATCTAGTCAAATATGATTTACTGTCATGGCAAAGATAAAATAAATCAGTTATTAGAAATGAGTTATTAAAACTTGTATGTTTAGAAATGTGTTGAAAAAAATCTTTGCTTTTGTTAAACAGAAATTAGGGAAAAATTTACAGGGGAGCTAATGATTCTGGCTTTTTTTTTTAAATTATATTTATTCCTTTTTTTTTTTGTTTATTTATTATTTATGTATTTTTTAAGGATTAAAATATGTTAAGATCATCCAAGATGTTAAAGATGATCTTTCTTTCTTCAGTCAAAAAGAAAATCTTTTTTGTTTTGTTTTTCTCTATATAATGGATTTTTACAGTGCACCATGGTTTAAATCTTCAAACTGCTGTTTCAGTGCAACTTTATGATACCAGCTGAGAAATAAGGGTCTAACCTAGCAAAATGTTTGGTAATTTAAAAATAAATAATAAAAAATAATATTAGTACTACCTCAAACTTGGCATTGCTACCACAATACTTGCTAAAAGTTATAAGCTAAACGTTTTTAATTTTTTACTAAGGTCAATCTCAGTTGAACATTATCGCAATGTTAACCTTGTAATCGCAATAATTTTCTTCCTGTTCACAAGAAAAACATTTTAATGTGTCATGCAAAGTTTGTGATTTAACTGCTTTTAATTCTTCGGAGAATGATCAGTTTACAGACAGACAGCCTTTATGAGCAAAAGGATCCAAAGGATGTGCTCACGGGTGTTTTTAAAGACAATGTTACAATATCTTAGATAAGAGTTTCTCTACAGCTCCTTCACTCTTAAACAAACAGTAGATTACACATGGCTGTAATAGCCCAATGATTATTTGATTTTACTTTAGCAAAACCTTATTCAATTTATAATATCAACATATAATTATCAATCATCAATATATGATCATAAAGATTAAAATTCATCACAACCTCTACAAGAACTAACATGTTTATGTCTTTGCTCTTTCATTGCAGATTTCTGTCTTCTCTAGTTTCTGGAACTACAGACCATTTTAAGCTACATCTGACCAAAACTCTACATTGAATGATCATTTAAAAAAGCTAAATAATTAAATTATTATGCTCTAGAATTTACTAAGAACAAAAAAAAACTATTGTGAACAAGCTCCGTGAAGTAATCCGTTGTGATTTTTACTATATGACCATGTATGAATCTAGTGTGCTTCTCGTTCAGTATGAGGTAGCGAGTGCTGTCTATGTAGTCCGTATGGAATCATTTGAAACTCTTTTCGGATGAAGCCATTCGGCGATGTGGTTTTGTGTTCATGCAGTATTTGTCATGGTCAGTGTTGATTTTATTTGTCAGTAATCTTGCCTATATTGTGTTTACTCATCCATGTTTAGGTTTAGAAAGGAAACGCTACTAAAACACAATGCTTACCTATTTATATATTGTCACAACGGCTGTGAAATATTCCAGTTGGTTTGTCGAGGGAGCTCTTTGAACTGTTTACCAGTGTTTTTAGCTGAGAAAGTTTAACACTTGAACATTATTCCTCTAAAACCAGGGACTGTCATCAGTGCAGCACGGTAAAAGCATTAAGACCATTTTTCATATGCGCATTAATAACCAACAGTGTATTTTTTTGCCACTGCAACTCATCTGTGGTATCATTTTAGTAACTCTAAATGACAATGAATGATGTCAGGGCTTCATCGTCCATCATTCCATTTCAAAGCAAACACATTCCTACTGATGGCTGATTGGAGATCAGAGTTCAGCATTTCTAATAGCCATCATTCTATGATTAAAAAAAGGAATATCATGTTGATCAACAGTTTGTGGTCATTTACAGAAAGGGTTTCTCTGGTAGCTCATTTACTTTGTCAGACTTGATATATTTATTGCTATATTTTTATTTATTTCTTGTTAAATGCACTTAATTCGTGTCCTGATTTCATGCGTGTTCATTTTGAACATTTGATTTGTGTTTACATAAATTCTAAGCTATTTTCATGTGTATATCATGCTTGATATGGAATATTTTGTGCAATAAACATACTTTATGAACACTACCTTGCCTTTTGGCACTTTATCTTGTCTGAATAAACTGACCGATACTTGCTCTACAAGCTATTTTACCCCAGTATACTGCAGTGTTTCTGCTTTTATTATAATATATCTGCTCACTTTTAAACATTTAAAGATGCACCGAATTCATTAATGCTTACTTGAAGTATTAATTATTATTATGCATTACATTTCTGGGTCCCTCTTTATATTAGGTGCCCTTAATTATTATGTAATTACACTGAAATTAATCATTTGTTGCAATGTTCTTATTATGTAAATACATGTTTTTACATCATACTTATGATTGATTTTAATACCATATATGATTAATTTCTGTAAATACATTTGTAATTAGCCTGTTGACCATCTCTTACAACTTAATCCACCCTTAAACCTAGCCATAGCACCTAATCGACCCATATATGCACCGGAAGTGTTCTGCAATACATCATGAACACAGTAAGTACATTGTATTTCTTTTCTTTATGCAAGTACAGTAGTAGTTAAGGCCACATTATATAAAGTGGGACCCATTTCTGAATTGTAGATTCTTAAAGAAGTGTATGATCTTACAATTGGCAAATATTAAATAATAATAAAAAAAAAACTTAACTTTACTACGTGTTTAAAGGGCTCCTATTATGCAAAATCAACTTTTGGAAGCTGTTTGAAATGGGTTTAGTTTTAAAGGTATAGTAGGTAAATAGTCTGTCCACGGTTATAGTGGAGTGATATAAACAAGGGCTTTAAAATTTCCCAACATTAAAATAGGATCTTTTTATGCCCCAGTGCACCATGATGTAGAACTGCAGTTTTCCCCGCCCACCGATTTAGATGGACAGACGAGTATTACCAAATGTCAGTATTAATGTGTATAATTATGTCCACAAGACAGGATTTGCAAAGAAACTCAGGTTAAAAGATCTGTTCCAACTCTCTGTGAACAAACTCCACTTCAAGAAGTAGTAAGTGCCACACTAAAAGATACTTTTTAAGCTACGCAAGTCATAACCACTGGAATCAGCACAGCTGCATATTGTACACAAATATAAACTAGTGTACAATACGCAGTGTGCATAATGAACAATAAATTAGATGACAAGAGTCCCAGTTTGTGGATGTTAAAACCGTTTGTGGACCCACAGCCAACATTGTTACAGCATTTGTGTGTGGCTCATTCATACTGTGGATGTAAGTGTGAATGTGGGTCTGTTTTATCATATCTGATTTGGTGTCTCTTATTTTTGCTGTGTATTCTAACATCTGATCCTGGTTATCCTTCTCTGAGAAAAGTCCCAAGAGCAAGCAGTGAGCACCAGCTCATATTCATTTAAAGACACGGTGCAAAAACAGCTAAAATTCCCCAACCCAAACATTTTACATTTTTAATGGGGTATAATAAAGGAGCTGATGGGCATTTTGATCTGACACATTCTGGAGACACAAACGATTTGTTTTACATCTTGTAAAAATGGCACAATTAGAGTCCTTTAAAACTTAATTTTTAAATGTTTAATTCATACACGGTTAATTCATATAAATTGTAAAAATTAATTTATCATTATTCATGTTTTTGTGATTACAGAAATAAAATATTATATTTCTGAACTGAATAATAAAAAAAGCTATTATTAAGAGAATTTTTTTTTAAATAAATGACTTTAGTTTATCTTGATTTTATCATATTGGGATTATATTAGGATTAGATTTTTTTACTTTGAGAACCACTGAACCAATATTGAGAACCAATGATTTTTGTTTAAAAAAAATCCCATTGAGGTGCAGTAGGTAGTGCTGTTGCCTCACAGCAAGAAGGTAGCTGGTTTGATCCTCTGCTCAGTTGGCGTTTCTGTGTGGAGTGTGCATGTTCTCCCTGTGTTCGCGTAGGTTTCCTCCGGGTGCTCCGGTTTCCCACACAGTCCAAAGACGTGCAGTACAGGTCAATTGGGTAGACTAAATTGTAGTGTATGAGTGTGTGTAAATGAATGTTTATGGATGTTTCCCAGAGATGGGTTGTGGCTGGAAGGGCATCCGCTGCGTAAAAACGTGCTGGATAAGTTGGCGGATCATTCCGCTGTGGCGACCCCAGATTAATTAAGGGACTAAGCCAACAAGAAAATGAATGAATGAAAATCCCATTGACTTTGACTGAAATTGATATTTTAAACATTTATGGTTGATTAACAAAGTTTACATCTCATACAAATAATGTCATGCATTCAAAACATTCCAACTTCCAATTTCTATGTTAGCAAAACATGCTAATTTTTCTCAGGTATTCTCAGAAAAGGGTTTAGGTAATGTGTTAAATATGTTGAAACAAATACAGTCAAAATCTAAATTAAGTAAAAGTTGTTATCTGGGATAACCAGTAACAAACAATTTGAAGTTAAAAACAATCTTCAAAGACAACATATGTCAATACAAGGCTGTTTAAGGGACTGCTTTGGTTCCAGAAAAAAAAAGTGCTTCAATATTTTGTTTAACCACAAAGTAACTAAAGTATTAAAATGAATGCGCATATTTATATAGGCTATAAAAATCTTTCTGAACAAGTGTCTCATATCTGAAACGGCCATCACAGCTTCAGTCTTGTGACATCCTGGGTAAATATTAACATTTTTACACAGGAGGGAAAGTTTTTAGCTTTTATCATTCCTATAAGGAAGTATCTACCGAAAACGTGTTTTCTATGCTGCGTTTTCAAGTACAACTAATGATTAGGTATACTTTTGCTATATAAAAAAATGAAGTCACATAATCTGACATTTTGTATAGGTAATCCCTTTTGTTTCTGAAGGATCATGGCTCCATTCCCATGTTGTCGATGCCCACCTTCTGTCGTCTTGGCTATAATGTGGAAACAGTAGCAGTCACCACAGATGTTATATGACCGTATTGTTTTATTAATCTACAGATATGTTATCATTCTGACCTTCTCATCACAGCAGCAGCAGCAACAGCAGCGAATGAGGACCAAGATGACCAGCAGGAGGACCATACCTGTGAAATGGTTAATATTGTGGAATTCTTAATCATTTAATAATATATTATTATTATTGTTGTTTGCTTTGCTTTGCTTAATTTTACAAACCTATGAAGATGAAGAAAATGGCAAATGAGGCAATGTCCCAGTCTGACTGAAACATCTGTTTTGATTGTAGTCTTGAGACCACATCATTGAACTGGTTCTCAAAGTCCTGTTGAATGCTTTTGTCCATGACTTCAGTCAGAATGGTCCCGCTTATTAAACACTGTTGACAGATATTTGAAACGGACATCAAGAAAAATGAAAAAAAAAAAAAAACTGATGCCACAAACTAAACCAACCTGTTTACCAAGAAACAAGTATGCAAATGACACTGAATACACAGTCTGGATGTGTTTTTTTTCTTCTTCTAGCGTTCGTCTAAAAGAAACAAACTTAAAGGTACTTAAAAATAACAACTAAAATAATGTAGTATAACCCTGTTTTAAACTAGTAATAACATATTTTGAATCACTAAAACAGGAACTTGCATTACCGGCTAAGTTTTAGTCACGGCAATATTTTACCTAATAGTACTTCTTATTTCAGACAAACTTAAACATTATAAGCTCGAATTTTCACTTTTATAAATAAGTATACACTATCCTTTCTTTATTAAGCCGGTTGTCACTGAATAACCACAGTTACTGTTAGGCTAAAATCGCATGACACTCTTGTAGACTCGTACGTACTAAACTAAAATGTATGCTACAATCATTCAGATCTACTTGTATTCTACTTCATAAACTGTGTATTTTCGATCAAATATATATCGGTCACTCACCTGTTGTGTTTGTTTGTCGTATTTCCGGGTTACAGAGCAACACCTGTCTCGGGGAACTGAAAGCGGCTCATGCAGGATGTTTGTTGACCCGCTGAGGTGATTTTGCGGAAGTGCGACGATCATTTCACAACCAAACTGATCTAGTTTGTGGCTATTTTATTATAGCTAAGGCTACTAACAAAATATTAACTAAATAAAAAACATTAGCTAAACACACAGTCCATGTTAAACATTAAAACAGCTTAGTTATTAAACTATGCATTTAAGATTGCATTAAAGCTGACAAGATGCGATATTTACCCCTGTTTTTTATTTCAATCGTTTTTATTGGTCTTTTGCATGGCAATACAACTTAAATATTGAGAGATAAACAGTAATATAGTCGTCTTTGTTAATCCCATTACCCCTAACCTCTCATTTATTAACTCAATTAGCAAAAAATAGATACATAAATACCAAATTAAGTACATTAAACACATAAGTACATCAGAGAATAACTGGATACAGATGGGAGGTGGATAATTATAAAATGTAATAATAATATAAAAATTTTGATGATTATAATATTATTATTATTGTTAATAATAGCCTAATAATGATAATAATTAATTAAAAAAGAAACTTAAAGTCTGAAACAGTAAAAAACGCCACTCTTGTAGGGGGGAAAGTGTGTTTCCACTTTAGAAGTATGGCAGGTCTAGCTAAAATTGTGGTAAAGGCAAAAACCTTGCTGTCGTGGACTGTCAAATGAGGTCCAATTGGGATACTCCAAAGACGTTTAGCAAAGGATCAGGGTCTTACCCAGAGATGCCAAAACTGGGGCCTGTGGGCCAAAGTTGGCCCATGGTAACCAAGGAAGAGAGGAAGAATGATAGAGATGGCTTAGAGAATGTCAATTCAAATCTAATGTATACTTTTGGTTTATTGTTTTAAAAACTAAATTAAATTAAATGTTTCAATTAAATGATGTGAATTAATCAGATTTAGCTTAAATGTACATACTGTCACCTGATGATGAGGACAAATCAAGTCAAAGGCAGGTTTGGCTTGACTAGTATATTCAGCATTGAACTCCATTGTATATTATAAATATGATTGTTCATGTTTTTATTGCAATAAGTTATAATTTTAAATGTTAAACTGCATCTGTTATATAGTTTAAAGTAATGGTTTGTAATAAATTGTGAAATAACCATGGCAACTTTAATGAAAAATAGTTTGGTATATTTATCTTTTTTGCACCCCTGCCCCCTGTTTTCTTTTTTAATATATATAAACATGACAGATTGAGCTTCTGAGTAGGTAGCACAAATCATCAGAAAACTGTCATATTAGGCTACTAAGTGATTATACTAAGGTATTACTGAAAGAAAGAAAGAAAGAAAGAAAGTTAGCACGGTTGTCCTGCGAGACACGAAATTTCGTTTCTCTGGATGTCCACAAATTTAGCAGAATCAGGCCTGTAGCCAGTCTGGTGAAAGGGGTGGTTCTTTTTTCTCAAAAATTGGACCTATTTGCAGTTATACGCCTCAGTTTCTATTTTACTATGAGATTTAAATACTGCATTTTTGTATTTTTTTGTTGTTGTTGCTGGATTAGCTGATCAGATGTCATCAAAACAACACTTTTTGATGTACTAAAAATATTTCCTAAAAATTGCAATAAAACAAATTAAAACAAGACTAATTTTTAAAATACAAATTTATAACAAATATCATTAGGAAAAAATACCAGTCTGTTAAACTTTTAAAGTTAAAAAAAACAAAACTGTAGCCTGCTATAATTTATTAGACAAAAAACAAACTGGCCAGCACATGCAACTGTACTCAGTCACAATTAATAAAAGATATTAATTAAAACAATAATAATAATAATAATAATAATAATTATTATTATTATTATTATTATTATTATTATTATTATTATTATTATTGGTATTATAAATTCTTCAGAATTTTTCTAGTCTCTTTGGTAAAAAAGTACATTTAAAAATTCCTGATATCAACAACAGCCAAAATATATTCAAATAAATTTAATATGGTCCGCTTCTGGTGCTTCATTTCAGGTGCCAAATTCTGGACCTTTGTCAGTGAGGGGTGGGCCTTCCGAACCCCCCTGGCTACAGGCCTGAAAAGTTAGAACATGTTTTAATAGAATTGTGGCCGTAAAAGCGCACTTACAGGTATTTCAGGTGCAGGTCAGATTTTCTCAAGGTCATAATTTAATTTATTTATATTAATTTTGTCTAAAAAATGCTTAGACCTCTCCAGTTTCATCTGGAATGCATCCCAGATCACCTTCTGAAGTGGTTTGAGCGATCGGATATCTGTTCAGAATAAAACGAATGAAGTGAGCAGACAGCCTCATAAACACAGACGTGATGGGAATATTTATTCAATGTAAATATATTATATTAATTGTATAATAAATATATTATATAATATTACATAAAATAATTAAAAGAACAAATGCTGGATATTTTGTGCTGGATGAGAGGTGGTTGGTAGCAAGTAACATGCTATTAGGTTATGTGACCGCTAGATGGCGGTCTTGGATAATAAGAAGCTTACCCCCACTAGGAGTTTGTCAGAGCAGTGTATCCTTGCTGGGCTCACTTTCTGTTCTAATGTCCCGCATCTGTCTTTAATTATATTCATCTGTCTCCATATTCTAGTGCATCCCAGAGTATTACACAGCACCAAAAATGTGAAAATATATGATCAATAAATTTAATATGTTTTTGTCCACAGCCACCGCAGCTCGCCATGACGGAAATTCCATTGCCTGTGCTCCAATAGGATGTGCTCTCTTCAGCGCTTACCATGACAACGAGACGCACAGCAGTGACGTCGCATTGTAAACATTTGCATATGCATTCCTATAAAGCTCGTCGGTTCTCTCTCAGCGTTGTCAGTTCGCTCGTTGTTGCTGTTTGCATTTGATCAAGGTGAGTTCAATACCTGAAGGTAGGAGTGGAGCCACGCTAATCTCACGAAGTCCGCTTCGTGAAGCTTCTCTCGGGCCCATCTGTGCTGTGGTTCCTTGCGGTTTGCATACATAAACGCAATATCGCAAAGAATATTACGTGTTTGTTGCTTGAAATGTGCCGCCGAGCAACATCCAGTGAACACTGGCACGGCCTGGCGCCCGGTTAGCTCGTGCACTACTTGGGGCATGGCAGCCTGTGAACCCTAGGCAGGGATCAATACAAGCCGTGAGGACCCTCATGGAAACACGGGAGGCCGGTAGTGGCACCCCGCTGCGAGGGTTATGGTGGGTGGGAGCAGCGAGGCCCACTCATTGTCTATTTTAAACTATAATTTCAAACTTTAGTTTACTATAGTTTAAAATAGAAACCATGGTAACTGTTATGATTAAACTGTATGTCTGGCTGTTCTAATGTTTTGCTTTGTTTTTCAGCTGAGTTGTTGAGCAAAGGAGGACTGTTGAAGACAACCGTTGAAGACAGCCGTGGGTTATATTCATTATCGCGCGCGTTATAATGTTTCCGTGCTGTTTTCTGAAAGTTTATCTTGTTTAGATAAGTTTGCAGGTCAAACTAAATAAACTATACTCTTTCTAAACACCTGTCTCGTGTTTTATTTGTCTTCTAGAGCAATACTACACTGTCATATAAGACTGTTGAATGCATTTGTATGCAACATGGTTTGACAATACAGTAGTCTAACAAATAAATAGTTGTTATAAATGTACCTACATTAGTCAACATTTGGTGTAGGATATAAAAAGTTTATCAAAAATGTTAGATGTTAGACATAATGGTAATGTTATGTTTGTTAAATAACTGTATTTACTATTATTCTGTATGTTTAAAACCAGCAGATTATACTATGTATTTAACATGTCATATACTTACTCGTCCTAAGACAAGAATGGGTATTGTTTTGGTTTTATGTCAAACTACTGTAGGTTTTAGGTTGTCTACAGCAGGTATAGGCTACCTATATCTTAATATTGGTAGTCAGAGTTATTTTAATGACCCAAATCAAGTAAAATGTCTCTTACTCAATTACTTTTAGCATTCAAAAGTCAAATTTAAGTACATAAAATACAGTTTCCTACAACAAAATTTTGTCTTGTGAAAATGTCCAGTGGTTGGTGAGAAAAAAAGTTAATGTGAAGTTATATATATAAAAGAAGTTGGACAAGTTGTCATAATATTTAGTCATATTAATATGTTAATTGTATAATAAATATATAATATTAAATTACATAAAATAATTAAAAGAACAAATGCTGGACCTTTTGGCCGTAGGGGGTGGCTCGTTCGACGCCCCCCACCCTGGCTACGGGCATGGGAATGACAAGCTCGACTTGTATTATAATATTATATAATATTGACTTGACATTTTTAGGGATTTTACAGTGTTGTAGTACCAAACCTCCTCTAAAAGTGTCGCTGTCTCACTTCATGCATGCGAGGATTGACCTCTGACTCTTTGTTTACGTGGAAGGAGAGCTGTTCTTGCTTCCGGGTTCTTATTTCTGCAGGTAACTGACCAGTTTTAAAGAGATGGCTACGGTACCGGCCCAGTCTCTACGGGTGTCAGAGATTAAAGACCCCACCGTTTTATTTGAACGGTACGGAACGGATGAGATCCGCGCTGTGGAGAGGAAAGTGCGCGGAGAGATTGAGCAGAAGAAGGAGGAACTCCGGCAGATGGTCGGTGAGCGGTACCGAGACTTGATCGATGCCGCTGACACGATCGGTGAGATGAGACAGTGCTCGGAAAGTGTCGTGCATTCCATCCAGGACATGTACCGGTACTGCCATAAACTCAAACAGGCCAAACAGACCCCGCAGTCCAGCAGCAGAGCAGAGGTGAGGCTCCATGTTTCTCTGTTTCTGGACAGCAGCCTGCAAACAACATACAAAAATATTTATTCATATTTTTTTTTGGCTTGAACAAAGACATTTGACTATGTTTGGATGCAAGCTGTTGCTTCAATGTTCTTGTCAGTCAATTTGAGTGAGCCATTTCAAAACAGATGCAGTGTGTCAAATGTTTGTTGTGACTATTGGTAAATATAGCATTCACTTATCTAAAACAGCTGTTCAAATTACACGTTTTTAAACTGCATCTATTGAGTTGCCACTACTTTCAGAAATGATCTGTCTGTTTGTTTAACTCTGATTAAGTTGGTTTTATATGCACACATTCGCTCTTGTGACACAGCCTCTTTTAAGTACTTTAAATATTCATCCTGAAATCCTGTATAAATATGACCTCAAAACAACATTAAGATTAGCTCTGTTTAACTGACTATGAACAATGTTGTACTTTCATTGTCATTGCTTGCTTTTTATTCATGGGATGATAACAGTTTTGAAGTTTGGAAAAGTCAAGTTGTTAAATTTTCTGCCATCCCGTTCCTAAGGTACATCTAAGATATTTTTATTTTTATTTACTGTTGTTTTTAGGACAACAGCATCTTCCTGCAGAAAAGATATCCTAAGATGCCATTTTAAATTGTAATGAAAAATGATTTTGACACTAATGAAGACAGCAGAAGTCATTGATTCTCTTGAATTATTTCGCCTGACATGTTTACTGCTCCAAAATATCCTAAATGTTTCTCAAAATAAAAATATAATATGTATTGTGTTGAAAGAGGAAAAAAGTTCTTGTTTTTTTTTACCCAGACATTTAAAAATAATATATTTTAGAGCAGTGATGATCACAATACCGGGAAACCGTGATATTTTTATCCAAGGTGATACCGTCAGAATCTTATACTGGTCTATGCCTACTGCTTTTGTGAGTTCACTATTTAGAATCTGCAAAGAAGACTTTCCTGAAATTATTTTATTAAGGAGAAAGTCCAAATGTGTGAATATATAAAACCAACTTTACCCAAATCTGTTGTCATGGCTATTTAAAATTCTTTCACTGAATAAGAGACAAACATGCCCAGTCATATTTAAAGAGGATTTGCTTCTTTCGCAAAAGAAGATCAGTCAGATTATCTAATGTTCATCACAGATAATCATACATTGATTAATATTCAAATGCATCTAGCTCAATCTTTTAGTAGTATTATATCTATCTATCTATCTTTCTGTCTGTCTGTCTGTCTTTCTGTCTGTCTGTCTGTCTGTCTGTCTATCTATCTATCTAAATTAAAACAACAGTTTTATGTATTTGAAACAAAATTCAAAATTTCAAATAAAGCGACTAATAAATGAATCGTGCAATATTTTAGTAAGAAATAAACTTATGATGTAACAGTAAAGTAATTAAATCAAATTGTAGACATTTTTAATAACAATTCTTCACAGTATAAACTGTGTATTCATAGTTACAGTGTAACTATAAAGATTTCAAAATTAAAGGGTTTTAAATGTTATACATGGAGGCCCCTTGCATGAGGCGATCCAAAAAAAAAGACCTTCAACATTTAAAAGATTCAAAACATACAGGAAAAAGAGTATAATCGGAAATATTATTACAATTAAAACAAATGCTTTCATTTCTTTTTTAAAGTCTGTTTTATTCTCTTTTATTCTGTTGAATTTCCAGCAGCTTTTTGGTGCATTCCAAGTGTATTTTAGTGTCACTTTTGATCAATGTTATGCACCTTTGCTGAATAAAAGTACTGACTGACTCCTTACTGAACAGTTGAACTGCTGTGTAAATATTGTACTGTTTACCTTATGTGTATCTATACCCCCAGTCCATTATTATATCATACATCCTCAATTTATTATATCACAAAGTCAGAGCTCAATAGTGAGACGTATTGGGATGGGTTGTGAATGCGTTATTGTTTTTAGCAGGGTCAGAAGCAGTCGCAGGAGAAGTTCTACACAATGGCGTCCCAGATAAAGCTCCTCCTTGAAATCCCGGAGCGCGTCTGGAGCGCTATGGAGTCCTCGCAGTACCTGCAGGCCACACAGCTCTACCTGCTGTGCTGTCACCTTCATAGCCAGCTACAACTGGAGGGTGGAGGTCATCAGTACAGCCCCGTCCTCTCTCGCTTTCCCATCCTGGTGCGCCAGGTCGCAGCTGCAGGTCATTTCAGGTATGCTAGAGAATTATGTAGATGTTCAATGCATTTCTGGTTGATGATTTGGTTGTTGTTGTTTTCTTCTTTACTAAATGTCAGTTGCCTTTTTGTTGTAGGTCTACAATCTTGCTGGAGAGTAAGTCAGTGCTGCGCGGCAGGGCGGTGTCCGATCAGGCGATCGCTGAAGCGCTAGTCTCCACCATGCTCCTGGAGGACAGCTCACCTCGACAGGCGCTTGCTGATTTCCTGCTGGCTAGGAAAGCCTCCATTCAGCAACTGCTTAATCAGCCTCAGCATGGTGAATAACTTGCGCGATTACATCAAAGTAGACATTTGTTTTTATTTTTAAATAAATTAATTATATGGATTTAGTAATTTTTTTCATACAACTCTGTATCAATCCTGTGTTCTCAGGATCTCATGCCATAGCCGAATGATCTACTGCTTAGCCACAAAAGCTAGACATTTCAATATTAATGGAGTTTTGCGGTATTAAATAGATGCACCATCATCATTTTTAATCAAAATAAAGCCAGTTGTGTTAAAATAAAATAAATAAATAAACATGGCACTTGTGTAAATGTAAAATTCAGATCAAAGGTTTTCATTTTCAATGCATTTCTAGCTAAAAATATTGTAGTAAGCAAATATCTTTTTAGTTATTACCAAAGCTCTCTCTATTCCATTGTATTTGATTTAAAATGTTGTCAACAGGAATAAATGTTTTCTGTCTGAATGTTTAAAAAAGTAATTTATTCCTGCGATTGCAATGCTGAACTTCACTACTGCAGTCAAATGATGTTTTAAAACTCATTCTAATGTGCTCATTATTTGAAATAGTGCAAATATGTCACATTTTTACCATATTTTGGATCAAATAAATGCAGGTTTGATAAACAGAAGAGACTTTTTTAAAAAGCGTCTTCTTAATGTTCATGTAGATTAAAATAATGAATTCTTTCTTTTTTACGTATTGTTGTTCTGCTTTCACATGTGTTGCTGTCTCTCTCTCTCTCTCTTAGGTGCTGGGGTTAAAGCACAGGTTTGTTCTTTAGTGGAGCTGCTGGTTACGACTCTGTACCAGGCGTATGCTGTGTTTTATGTGCCTCCAGAGGGACAAGTGTCTGATACCGGTTTGGGCTGTGGCCTTCTTTTCACCACTTTGGAGAATGTAACCTCCAACACCTCCTCTGGTGAGTTTATGTTTGATTTATTAAGACTTGGCTGTATTTCAATGCAATTCTAATGTATCAGTTAGAGGAATAAACTAGTTAGAGGATTAAAGGGTTCATTGTAGCATGGAGCACATTCCACCCTTAAAGGTCCAGTAAAATTAAAATATATTTTTTAGATATTAGAATCAGCATGTTTTACGGATATCTATTAGCTAGTGTACTCTAAATGGTGATCACGTTTAGAACATGTAAACATCCAGAGCAGTTTGTCACTTCCACATAAATGGATCAATGACTTTTTTATTATTATATATTTTTTATAAATGCTTAATAAACAAAGTACAGAACAATACAAATACAACTAAAGAAAGAAAAGGAAAAAGGGTCAGGGGTGTACAAAACAAAATATAAATAAGACAAACAAATATAAGTGCAAATATGCATACTAATAAAGGATAAGGGCCTTGTGGGAATACAGGATCTTAATGGTTTAAATTAAGTTTTAATGGCATGTTTTTATTAGTGCTTTGCTTTATGTTGTTCATATGATGTTCCAATTATTTTAGTATAGCAGGACAAAATGTTTTTTAGTTATTAATGCGTTCATATGATGCAGTAGAAATCATCAGCTCAATCTAATTGGAGTTCGTCTAATATCGCAGCACCAGTCTCGCAGCCATAATACATCCTGCAATGACTAGCCTAGCCTGTGCTTTAGATTTCGAATGGCTGCTTTCTTGAAGCAACACAAACATGAGTTTGCTACAAGGATTCTCAGATCCTTAGTTGCATTCTTTAAAGACAAAACAAGATATTCTGTAGAATGTTGGGGGAAATACATACACTGACGTCCATTAAAATACTATGTAGGTCGCTGGCTGTTTTTATATCTTTCAACATATCTTTCTTTGTGTTCAACAGAAGAAAGAAACTCTGGTTTGAAATGAGTGGAGAATGAGTAAATGTTAGAAGAATTTTTTTATTTAGGTAAACTATTCCTTTAACTTGCTTGAAAGAAACCTTTGTGAATTTCTGTTCAATCCAGGTAAAGAGAAGAAGGTCCTGGATAAGGAGATGAGCACAGGCAGCTGGTTTAAACACCTTCCTCCTTCAGTGATGAATTTCCAGCCGGTTCTTCGGACATTAGCGCAGCCCATACAGAGAGAGCAGCTCAGAGACACCCTGCAGCAGTGGATTGACACGTATGTTGCAAATTTTATTTATTAATTTATTTTAAATTGAGGATTAAAAAACACTTCAATCACCAGAAAAGCAATGATATGCAGATGAGTTGACAAGCCTCTGTTTGTTTAATAGTGTGCGTGAGAGTCAAACAAACAAGCAGGACAGACAGAGAGATAATATATAAACCCATAGTTTGTTTTAAATTCTGTATGTTCCTGTGACAGCTGTAAGGAGGATATCCGCAGTGGAGTCAGCAGTCTTCTGGTCTATGTTAAGAGTCTGAAGGGTCTGGCTGCGATTAGAGATGCCGTGTGGGAGCTGCTCAGTAGTGAATCCATCAGTCAGCACTGGAGTACTGTGTGTCAGTCCTTGCTCGAGCAACCTCTGGCCTTGTGGGACGACCTTTTACAGCAGCTCTTCCTGCGGAGACTTCAGGTACTCATAACTGATTCAACCAGTTTAACTAGTCCAGTAGGTGCGTTGGCTATGGTTACACAAGGTATTATCATACATTGGCTGATTCTAGCATAACGATTAATTGTCTAATTGCCAATCACACAAAGAAATACTATGCCGTTTAAACAATTAATGCCATTACACTGAGGTTGACACAAAGCTGACAAACTGCTTTTGCTGAACAAGAAACAACTGATTGAAATGCAAACAACTGACATGCGAATTCATGTTTGGGAATGGAAGTGGTGCAGACCACAACAAGCCGATGTTTGCCAGCCTGCCCATTATGATATTTGTTTTCATCTTTGATTTATTTTCTTTTTTTAATCTTGTAAGTTTTTCCATTTGGCTTTAAGGAGTTTTTTAAAAATAAAATTCTGTTATTAATTACTCGCCCTTATGTCGTTCCAATCCACGGATCCTTTATTCTTCTTTGGAACCCAAATTAAGATTTTTAGATGAAATCTAAGTGCTCCCTCATCCTCTCAGATAGCAATGGTCACAAGCTGTTCAGAGTCCAGAAAAGAAACCAAAAACATTGTCAAAACATTTGTGTAACTTCAGGGGTTCTACTGTAATCATAGTAAGCTCTTGATAAAGCTGTAATAATCATACTGCTTAGAGCATGGCTATTCAATTGGCGGCCCACTGGCCGAACCCGGCCCCTGAGGCAATTTGTTTCAGCCCTCCAATAAGTGTGACCAAGACATCAAAAGTAAATTTAGTTCTAGGGCTGCTTGATTTTGGGAAAAATCATAATCACAATTATTTTGGTTATAATTGTAATCACGATTATTCAAAACGATTATCAGTTGAAGTCAAAATTATTAGCGCTCCTGAGAATTTTTTTTTTTAAATAAATATTTCCCTAATTATGTTTACAGAGCAAGGCAAAAGTATTTCCTCTAATATTTTTTTCTTCTGGAGAAAGATTGTTTTATTTCAGCTAGAATAAACGCAGGTTTAAATATTTTGAAACCTATTTTAAGGTCAATATTATTAGCCCCCTTAAGCAATAAATATTTTTGATTGTCTGCAGAAGAAACTACTGTCATACAATGACTTGACTAATTATCCTAATTAAGTCTTTGAATCGCACTTTAAATCTGAATGCTTGTATTTTGAAAAATAGTCTAATATTATGTGCTGTCATCATAGCAAAGATGAAAGAAATCAGTTATTAGAAATAATTATTAAAACTATTACATTCAGAAAATCTTATTTTCATGAAACAGAAATTGGGGAGGAAAAGGGTCGCTAATATTCAGGAGGACTTCAACTGCATATTTACTGCTTCCACTCTGCAAAGAAAAGAGAAATAAATACAATAGAATAAAAATATGAAACAAACTGTGCTTTAAGCATCTTTACTGTAAGAAAATCACTTTAGCTACAAAAGTCCTTCAGTCAAGAGCAGTTAGGGATGTTCTCCTTGTTGTTTGATTAATGATAAAAACAGGCAGCAGCAGGAACATCACGCACTTTCACTTTAATAGTTTCTCTTTCACGTCTTTTGAATCTCAACTCGTTTGTTTATTACACAAATGAGGGTTGATATGAATATTCACGAAACACTGCGTTTTGACACCTATTTGACCATTAAAGCGCTCTCATTAGGATGACTTTAGATGTGTGCGCTCTGCTCGTCTCAGTGTGCGAATGAGACCGAATGCTGACCGCATGCTTATGTGTGTGCTCTGCACACACACACATAAGCAAGCGGTCTTTCGCGCTGCTAAGTTAATAATCGTTTATCTCGATTAATGGTTTTTCATAATCGTTAGAAACTCGGATTTTTAATGAATTGCACTGCCCTATTTAGTTCAGCTGAAAAACGGTCGCTATAGTTATGAATTGACATGCGTCTGTTCAATACAGCACCAGCGGTGAGAGTGGTGTGTGGCTTTCAGTGCAATGTAAACAAAAGATACTTAGACGAATTATTACAAATTATTGTAATGATTTTGATTGTTTGAACGCAGATAATAACAACAGTTCATTTAAATTCTTGGCTAATATATAGCTTAAATTAACATTAGAAAAATGCTATTTTTTATTTATTCTTATTTTTATTTATTTATTCATTGTTCTGTCATTTATTTTCATTGCAAAATGATCACTCATGTTTAAATCAAAAACTTTTTCATTTATTTTTAAGCATAAAGAGAGAAATGGACTATTGTTTGTTTTTATTAATATTTCCTGCTTTATTTGGTTACTGAGCAGCAATAAACAACAATTTAAAATAAAATCTTTTTTTGTGTTTTTCTAAACTAGTACTGTTTTAAATTTAATAAATGCACAACAATCTAGATAATAAAACAATCAAAATCTATACCCGTTGCATCCCTAATTGTTATGCAAACATAACATATGAATGTGTTTGAATATATAAGAAGCCAACTTGAGCAATACATTGATTTTGTTGTGCTTAGAAATAAAACATTTGAAAATGTTTGTAGAAAAGCCACATTGTACAATGCACTGATATTGTGTAGTTTCAAAATACAACATGATAACGTTTTAACGTTGACAAATCCAATGTGGGTGTCTTGAGGAGCAAAAATACAACATATGGGCTCTTATATTACTGTTGTGTCATCACTCATATTGCAAGTCATATCTCTCCGGCCCCTCATTTAGGATGCTTTTTAAAAATTAGGACAAAGTTTGGTACTTTACCACCACAAATCCTATATATCTATCATGCTTACAATCTCAGTAAATCTGTCATTGAGTGTCGTTTTCACTGCAGTAGCTTTGCTAATCACATTTTTGTCAGCGTTTATCTAATTTCCTTGACATTTTTTCAGACAGTTCTCTGACACAACAGACAGATAACAAACATTCAACATCCAGTCTGTTCCAAAACACTTTTTTCTGCGTCTTCACCAGTTTTCCAAAACAGCCTTTTGTCCTATAGCGCCAGCAGTCTTGCCCCTTTGTTTAGCTAAAGTAGCTCGGACAAGTGATTTTTAAAGCTCAATCAAACCAAAAAAAACAACAACTACACACTAGTCCAGAAAAATCCATGCTTTGTTGTGCCATAATTGATTTCATTCACCTGGCTTGAAAAACTCCATGTGGATTAGTGCTGCACAAGATATCGTTTCAACATTGAATTCACAATATGCAAATATGCAAGAGTCACTTTGCAGAATATTCAATTTAGAGTTGTGATTATACTTAACCAGCAATAAAAATAGTCAACTTTAACCCTACTACAGTGAACAAGTTTTTTATTTTAAGGTATGTGACATTAAGATTTCAAGTTAATTTAAACATTTAAGCAGAATAAATTATAAATTTGTTGCTTTAACAAATATTAATTGTATTTTTTATTACAGTGCAGACTATTTAGTGTTGTTTTACATTCAATTACATTGTTTTATTACAGTTTTATTTTACATTTTAACTCAATATGACAACTCAATAACTCTGTTCAGAATAATGATATTAAATTTTGTTTGGATAGCACTTTTCCTACATACATGCAACTCAAAGCGCTTCACAAACAACAAACAAGCATTAAAATAAACCACAAATAAATGTATAGACAAAGCAAAATAAATATCAAATATATACTCGCATAAAAGCATACGTGTGAACGCATATATTCGCACACACAATAGTCCTCGCATATGCGTGCACACATTGATATGCATATAAACATACACCTACACAATATACATAATAAATATACTGTAAAGCACGGTCTATTTATTTGTATCTTTTTTGTATTGTACTAATTTATGCTTCTAATTTGTTTATTACACTTTATAATAAACACTCCCTACACAATTATCACAATGTAAAATGATCAATTCCCTCCTAATAGAGTTATTCAAATCATCTTATGATTTCAGCTGTTTTGATTCACTATTTTGTCATGGCATTTTACTTTTCCGTAATTCACTGGCACTCAGTGTGAAAGTATCTTCTGGATCTCTGCAGGTGATCACGCAGGAGGGCACAGAAGGGATCTCCAGCAGCTCCAGACAGCTGTTATCCTCAGCTCTGCGGGATCTGCAGGGTCAAGCCTCTGCCGGGAGCTTCAGTCGGGGGGCTCAGTACGAGAGTGACGTCGGAGCGTTCCTGTGGTCCGAGTCTCAGAGTGACCTGCTCAGTGACACAGCCTGGGTGAGCGTAGCCCAACGCAGTCCACAACAAAAGAGTGGCCTGTCCATGAAGACTCAGGCCCTCACACCCTGCGTCCAGACCTTCTGTTCCTCGCTGGACTCCAAACTCAAAGCCAAGCTAGAAGATCTGCAACACTACTTACCCTCTGACACAAATGGCAAGGAGACTTTAGAGAAGTACACAGTCTCGTCGAGTACACCTATAAATCGTTTTATGGATGCTGAAGCGGTGGAGGACATTCTTAGAGATCACTGCCTTGCGTGCGTTCGGGACGTCCTGGCTAGTGTGCGCTCTGAGCTGGCTAACGCTCAGGCTGAGACCAGCAGCCACAGCCAGTTGAGTTCAGTGCTGTTTATGGCCAGATTGTGCCAGTCCATGGGGGAGCTGTGTCCTAGTCTGAAGCAGTGTATCCTAGGAAAGCAGGGGGGTGTGGATGTTGTGAGTAGAGGCACACCACGACAGAGCAAGAAGCTGGGGAAAAGTGGTACTGCCAAAGCAGCCGATGTGAGCCCAGCTCAGGCTAAGTGGAGCTGTCTGAAAGAGGAGCTGCTGTCCTGCAGTATGGATGCCTATGGAATCTGGAGCTCAGCACTCACCAGAGTAAGACTATTGAAGATATTTCAATAATTAATATTTACGTGTGCATTTTGATGATTTTAAGACTTCTGGCAAGATTTACTGACAGCTTGCACCATTGCAAATACTGTTTCGATGTAAAAAAAATAATAATACTTGTCAGGATTTTTTTTTAAAGAAATAGTGCTGACAATTTTTTTATCGTTGACCGTCTGTGACCCTATTGCATGCATTTGCCTTATTTACCCTTTCAGACCCCACATTTATGGGAGGAAACTATTCAAACTATGCAGCGTGACATAATAATGCATTAATTGATTATTTAAAATTAGGATTTGCTGTCGAATATTTAGTGGATAATGTTCAAAATGAAGTGTCTACGGAAGTGGAGTACGGAAGAGCATATATATACAATTGAAGTCAGAACTATTAGCCCCCTTTTAATTTATTATTGTTTTTTGAATATTTCCCAAATGATGTTTAACAGATCAAGGAAATTTTTACAGTATGTCTGATAATATTTTGTCTTTTGGAGAAAGTCTTGTTTGTTTTATTTTGGCTAGAGTAAAAGCAGTTTTAAGTTTTTTAAAAGCCATTTTAAGGTAAAAAAAAATATATATATATGTTTTCGATAGTCTACAGAACAAACCATCATTATACAATAACTTGCCTAATTACCCTAACCTGCCTAGTTAACCTAATTAAATTAGTTAAGCCTTTAAATGTCACTTTAAGCTGCATAGAAGTGTCTTGAAGAAGATCTAGTCTAATATTATTTACTGTCATCATTGCAAAGATCAAATAAAGTAGTTATTAGAAATGACTTATTAAAACTATTATGTTTAGAAATGTGTTGAAGAAATCTTCTCCCCGTTAAACTGAAATTGGGGATAAAAAATAAATAAATAAACGTGGGGATTAGGCTAATAATTCAGGGGGGCTAATAATTCAGACTTCAACTGTGTGTGTGTGTTTTTTATATATATATATATGCAAATTTGGTGCTAATTCTGTGTTCTTTAGCTTTCTTGTTGTCAATCAAATCACTTGCACAACTTTGTTCACATCTGCACTTTTTTTATTGGATCATAATTACAAGCTATTTTGCCCTGTTTATTTAATCTGGCCCTTGTGTTCTTTAATAAAAAAAAATAAACAAATGTGTTGCAGGCACTTGTGGGGAGTTTTGCTGCAACTCTCCATGCTGAAAATGCCGGATCCATCCTGGGTACTGCAACTAATTGGGAAGAGCTAGAAATACAGGAAGAGGCAGAGTCAGGAAACAGTGTAATGTCCAAAATACGCCTTCCTGTGCAGGTAACCACTACAGTTATTTTCTACTGTTATCTTCGTTATTAACTTTAATGAATGCAGTGTGCATTTTTTATTTATATTATATTATATTATATTATATTATATTATATTATATTATATTATATTATATTATATTATATTATATTATATTATATTATATTATATTATATTATATCATAAATTATTTGTACAATATTAACATATTTATGTATACACTATATATTAATGTATTATAAAATTCCCCAAGCTTTTTTCATTTGATCAAACTAGTAACATTTAAATTATAAATAGTTTAAAATTTATTTATTTGATAAAAATGTAGTTTAATTTGACATTTTATTTTTCATTGGAAGGGAGTACTTTATCAAATAATTTTGCATTGTTCCTGTTTTTATTTATATTTGGGAGTTTTTATTCATTTTTTATACATTTTTTGTTCATTCTGTAGAAGTTACAGTGTTTGATTGTTCATTTTGTAATTTTTCGATGAAACCGAATCACAGGACCCCCTGCTTTGAAACCCCAGCAAAGTGTTTATAGTGATGCCAGGATGCTGCTGTTTAAATTAAAAGACTAATTTAGATTAAAGTTTTCTCTGTCTCTCTCTACAGCCATCATGGTATGTTCAGTCGTTACTCTTCCACCTGTGCCTTGAGGTCAATCGAGTCGGAGGTCATGCTTTACCAAAAGTAACTCTGTTGGACATCCTAAAGGGTTGTCTAGACCAGGCCGTGAGCGAGTATGAAAGACTCACTCAAGACTCACAGAGCAAGGTGAAACCATTGATTAAATGTCTCTCTTAGTCCTCTTGACGCTTGCATTCTTTTCCTTTCAGTCAGTATTATAATGAAATAATACCTTAATTATTAATTATATAATTATAAGGTATATTTAATGCCTTAACCAGATTTCTGTTGTTCTGTGTAGGACACAGGCCTCCCCATGACCCAGAACAGAGCACTACAGCTGCTGTTTGACCTCCGCTATCTCACTGTCACTTTAGGGTCTCGTCTTGAGGAGGGTAGGAGCTCCCGCTCTCAGCAAGACCCAAGGTGACCACTTCAATTGCTAGCAATGGATGCAAGTCCTTAGTAGTGTTGTTAAAAGTAATGTTTAGTTGATTTGTATGGAATCACTGTAAATGTAATGATGTAATATTGTTTTTTCCGAGTATGGAAATAATAGTTAAGCTTTGTCAGTTATTCAGAGTTTACACCGGCTCGTTTTACACTTGATAGAGACAGTGCATTTAATTCTGACTTCTAACAAAAACAGAACAATGCTTAAAAGCTGCTGTGTGATATGGTGTACAGCAAACAAGCTAAAAAAAAAATCCACAACTAAGTCTTTATAAGACACCAAACCCTAAAAGTCAGACTTTAAAAGGATGGTTGAACCTAAAATGAAAATTCTGCTATCATTTACTTAACCTCCACTTGTTCCAGACCTTTCCTCTGCCGAACACAAAGGAAGATATTTTAAAAAATGTTGGAAAGCAGCAGTCATCGACTTTCATAGTATTTTTTTGCTTCTACACTCAAATGTTTTGCTGTTTTTCTAACTACTTATTGATATGATTTGGATTAACCCAATTATTCAGTTTATTGGGGGACTACTTAATTGTTTTAATCCATTTACTTATGTAAATAACTTAATTGATTTGTGTTGAGATGACATGAAGGGATTGTGTAGATCCCAGAGTTTTTTACAATGTACTATGGATGTCAATGGCTCTTTTTCCCTTATCGTTCTTTTGTATAGCTTTTGTATTCAACAGAAGAAAGAAATTTCATAAAGAGTAAATGATGAGTACCGTTTCATTTTAAATTAGCTGTCCCTGGAAAATCAAATATCCTAATTTCACTTTTATATTTCATATATTTTTATTGTGTACCTTTAGTTATTCTTGTTTATGACTGGGCTAGTGAAAATCTGAACTGCAGTCTTTACTGAACCAGTAGAACAAATCTAAACACTGAGCCATGCTTGAGGTTTTAACTAATGAACAACTTAAGATTTACAAAAATATCATAGTTTAAATTCATTCGATGTGAAAATTGGTATCAAAAATGGTATCAGGTATCAATATTGTTAAGGTATCGTTAGAAATTTTATTTAGATCTGCCAAAACAAAGCACAACCAAGAATAGATCATGCTGAAGTGACAGCCCTCTCACACTTTGCTGTTTGTTAAAGGGTCCAGCAGGTCTGCGACTCCCTGGAAAGTCACATCGATCCCTTTGACCTGGACGTTTTTACTCCACATCTGAACAGCAACCTTAACAGACTCTCACAAAGGACATCTGTAAGCTTCACCTTTTATCACCGTTTTAAACTGTGGTCAATCTGCTACTTTCAGATGCATGATTGTGTTAATGGGGTGCACTGCAACATGTTCATTTCATTTTGCTAACATTTTGTATTTTGTTGCAGTTTTTTTGTAACCTATTTATTTAAGGTTATGAAAATGATTGTACAATGTGCTTTTACAGACATAGTCATAGGCAAGTTTTACAAAAAATGTGCAATGAGTTGTAGAAATTACAGTAATCCTTAAAAAATAAGCCAACAGATAGATGGAGGTAAGGGGAAAAAGGGGAAACATCATACCCTCTATAAGTACTAATATTGACCAGTTAGTCACATATTCTCTGGAAAGGCACATAAAACTAAATATATATTTTCCTCATCACAGCACATTCCTATAATATAAACATGTCTTTTGAAAAAAGAACATTAGAACAGAACAAAAGAAAAAAAATCAACAAAAGTAACAAATAAACAACAAAAGACCCTTCCCTGAGCCTCCGACAACCCTCCTCCACACAAAAAACCTAATTGACACACAAAACTAATTCTCTCATATGTAAATGATTACAAATAAAAGTGAATCTAATACACCTCAAAGCTTCTTGCCGGTCATCACCTATATAGCATTACACAGGTCTTCCTCCTAGTCCTACTTATCGGCCACTGTGTTTAAAAGTCCAGAGATATTACGCCCCATTCACACGGGGCTTTAGCGTCAATGCTTGACTGAAGGCGTGTCTGAATGAAAAAGCGTCAGCCAATGAAATTCAGTCAGCAATAGGCCACTGTCTAGCTGGTGTATTTGCATACAGCGATCTGATTGGCTGACGCTTCTGTCGGCACTTGAAAAGTTGAGCTAGTCCCAACATCTGCAGCGAGCAACACCTCTGAAGGGGCGCTGACGGATCCACAATGCAGTTCGGCAACGCCTGACGTCACCCATTCAAAGTGAATGGGAAGCATTGACTCTGACGCCCCGTGTTAATGGGGCATTAGATTATAGAAAAGGATAAAATCTAAAAATAAAATGAACAGCATTTATTTTGTTAGCAAGAAAACCTTTCAAACTATGAAGTGCTAATGTATCTGGTACTTGTATTTGTTGCATTTTTTTAATCGATTTTAAGAGGCTTCTCCCTTAGAAACGCACAGTGTGCTTTAATTGGTTAGCTGTCCTAGTGTGTTCTAATTCGCTAACTGCCTAGCACACACTGAGGTGTGTCAAAGTGATGTGAAGTTATGTCAAAAATGAAGTCTCTACCAGCTGTTTGTTTTAGTCCCTAAAAGCCAATTCTGTAAACGAAAATATCTCCATTTGCATTACCTTGGAGCACTGTAACTTTGCAGATGTTGTTTTTACCCAGACAGTAACATTATCACTTACTATTTTAATTATATGGAAGAATAAAAATATAATAATCATTATCAAGAATCCTTATAAACGTATGCCTGGGTAATTGTGTTATTCAGATTGGCTTGGGACTAGGATAATTGTCCTCTTTTGTATTTTGTCTTCTTATTGTTGACTGATGTTATGATGAATAGGTGTTGTTAGGGCTGTTGACGGGCACAGAGAAGCAGTTCACGTCTAGGAGCAACAGCATCAACTCTCAGGAACCATATAACATCCTTCCTTTGGCCAGCAGTCAGATCCGGTGAGAATACAGCTCCATCTTACCTTTCACACTGTTGAACGTGCGGTTATTGACATTTATGAAAAGTTAGTTGCTGTCATACTTTACTGTTTTGCAAGATAATAAAAATTGTAGTGCATTACAATATAGGCATTGTAAAAATGTGTTTTACTCATTTTTATATTTTATTAATGTATTAGCAATACTACTAATAATGTAATAATAATAAAATATATATATATATATATATATGTTTAACAGAGAGCAGATTTTTTTTCCAACACATTTCTAAACATAATGGTTTTAATAACTAATTTCTAATAACTGATTCATTTTTTATTTGCCATGATGACAGTAAATAATATTTGACTAGATATTCTTCAAGACACTTCTATACAGCTTAAAGTGACATTTAAAGACTTAACTAGGTTAATTTGGTTAGAGTAATTAGGCAAGTCATTGTATAACGATGGTTTGTTCTGTAGACTATTGAAAAAAATAGCTTAAAGGGGATAATAATTTTGATCTTAAAATAAAAATAAAAATAATTTTAATTTTATAAAAATAAAAAACAGCAAAAATAAACAAATAAGACTTTCTCCAGAAGAAAAATATTATCAGACATACTGTGAAAATTTCTGTTTTGTTAAACATCATTTGGGAAATATTTAAAAAAAAAAGAAAAGAAATTTGAAGGGGGATTAATAATTCTGACTTCTATTTTTTTTATTCTGTACTCGTATGTTTTAAACCTTTTTTCAACATAAACATACATTAAAAGACATTTTACCAATTATAATAATGTCTACAAATAAAATCATAACATATATTTTTCACTTTTATATATATTTTTTTATAAAAAAAATATAAAAGTGAAACAATTATATTTATTTTTTAATATTTCTTCAGTAAAATTGTTCTTATATATAAACTTTTATGTTCTAATTTGTTTTATACAAAAATGTTTTTATTTTTTTATTTTATCTTGTAAAAGGATTATAAATAAATACCTACTTGTAATAGAATAATATATGTAAACAAACATTTTAAAATGTATAGTTGTATTTTACTTTAAATAGTTCATTATGTTATTATTAAACATGTTTTTAAGTAAATGTAAATATTTGCAAGTAATGTTTTTCCTCAACATAAACCTGGGTTTATTAACACCTTTTGCTCATTGTAGCTTTGTACCTAAAATATATTATGCATAATTAGAAAACATTTATTTATAATATATAATATATTTAAAGAAAAATATTGGAAAATATATTAAAAAACAATTAAAAATGCACAAATGTTTTACAATTTTTACGTTTCATTTTAATTCTGTATTTAAATAAATTATAATAAAAACTCTTCCCTTTCCTCAAGGTTTGGTTTGCTGCCACAGAGTATGACAAACTCCCGCAAGACTAATTCTGCCACACATGGAGCAGACATCACTAGACCACTGGTAGGCTGCTTATAATGTACATGGATTTCATGAGATAGAATTTGTCATAATTACATCTGTTTTAAAAGCAAAGTAAACATTATGCGAAACAGAAAGAGTTGAGATGGTGTTTTAGTTTTCATGGCTTTCTACCTATGCTCCCAGTTTTTCATGGAGTAGAACTGCTGGATCTGGAGGCGATAGGTGATGTTATAAT